TTTTTGAACCTCTGCTATGCATATTTGTGGGCCTATTTGTTAGTGGCCCTTCATTTTAAGTCTCTTTCTTTGCGGATGGATGGAACTTCTGAATTATAGCTAGTGTCAATTGTGAGATATTTACAATTAGATATTTATATCATTAAGGACGACTCATCGTTGAAGAAAGCCCAGGAAGAAGTGGACAGAGTCTTACAAGGAAGGCCTCCTACATATGAAGGCATAAAGAAACTAAAGTTCTTGACATGTTGCATAAACGAGTCATTGCGCTTGTATCCACATCCTCCTGTAGGTTGCACTTCTTCCTGTAGTCTTTTTCTTCCTTTCTCATCCTAATGCTAACGTGGTCTCATTTCTTTTTAATTGTTGTAGGTTTTGATAAGAAGAGCAATGGTTTCTGATGTCCTTCCAGGGAATTACAAGGTTGATCCAGGCCAAGATATAATGATATCTGTTTATAACATCCATCACTCTCCGCAGGTCAGAATATTTTGCATCCCCAATATCTTCTCTTCATCAATCATTATCCACGTTTGTCACAACCTACGATTAATTGGGCAATTAAAAATAGGTGTCAACACCGCTTCAATTTAAAGTCATGTACTTCATATTGTTATGATAAATAAGATTAGCTTCCTTTTATGAAACGAAGGGAATCACCTGTACTTTTATCTGGGCTGATTTAGTTTCGTAAACCCAGCTTCATCCTTTTCCTCTCCAGAGAGGCATCCTTAGAAATAAAGTTATATTGTCTTAATAAATGTTTTGGCTTCCCTGATGAAGTTGGGAGCAATATCTTGTGATCAATTTGTTGAAGCCGATGCCTCTTACTTGTATTGTCAGATGCAGATAGAATTCTGTTTCCATGAAGTCCTGATGCCAAACATAAGCACCCTGGCTTATGCAATTGTTTGCTCTGGGAGGCATTTCTTCAAATGTTTCTGATTTATGAAATTGTTTGTGCCCATTCCATTTCCAATTTACTAGGTCTGGGAGAGAGCAGAGGAGTTTGTGCCAGAGAGATTTTACACGGAAGGTCCACTGCCTAATGAAACTAATACTGATTTCAGGTTTCTTTTTGTCCTTGAATCTTTTGAACCGAGTGCACAGCCTTCAAAACTTGTTTCTTGCTCTTCGTTTTTATTTCTTCCCTCTTCTTTTTTGAATGATAGATCATTGTTTCTTTCCTCTTTCTTGGCATGGATGTCTACTTACAATGATAAGGGGAAATTGCAGATTCATACCATTTAGTGGAGGACCACGTAAGTGTGTTGGGGACCAATTTGCTATGCTAGAAGCTATAGTTGCTCTAGCAATCTTTTTGGAGCGCATGAACTTTGAGCTGATTCCTGATCAGAACATCAGCATGACCACTGGAGCGACAATCCATACTACAAACGTATGTAGCTTATGCTAATCAACCCCCTTTCTTGGCTAACTTATTCTGAAATAAGTTGATTCTAAAGAACTTTGGTATTTCACCTTCTCCGAAATTTAAGTGAACAAGGATCAATTCTAACTCAATAATGATATATGGGATTGGGATTAGGCCATCTTAGGTTAAGCTGGCATTGACACAAGTAGCATACCCATGAAAGTTAATGTCCTTATCCTGGCTGGGGTGAAAAATTCCCATGACTAAATCCATGGATTGTCCAATTTGATTGTCATGTGGTTCATTTCATGCATTATATAAACATTGTGTAAAGAAATATTGCGACCAAAGAATGAGCACTGACGGATTTTTCCTGCAGGGCTTGTACATGAGAGTCAGCCGACGGCAAACTGCACAAGCCTTAGTTTCATCTTCCTCCAGGTGAGCTGCATTGTATAGCATTTACACATGGCTACTCAACAATATATTCTTTCAAGCTTCTGATTCTTTTACTTCTGGAAAGAAATACCTGATTCTTTTTCGCTAGAGAAAATGAACGCAAGATCTTTGTAAAGTTAAATAGGTAAGGAGAGCTTGAGAAATGCATGAATGCTATCTCCATTATAACAAGTAGCCTCAATCATACAATTTTGAGCCGAACCTTTTGGCTTTGCTGTTGTAATTTGTTCTGTGCATCCTTAATCATGGCAGCATCTGCAACGAGCATTCTTATTGCACCAGAAAAAGAAACGCCGTTGACATGTATCATGTCCTAAATTCACTCAGAAAACAAAAGTGGCCCCTTTAAAGTTTCCCAAGGATTTCAAATGCAGGTTTGCTTTCCAAGTTCTGAGCTGTTTTTGACATGTATCGTGTCCTGTGACATGAAACTAACGGAGCCTCCTTCTGCAAATGGCCATCGTCCTTGTGAAAAGATGTTTTCCCACCGTTGTTTTTCGCCGGTTCCATGAACACCGTATTGATGACGCATTGGCACTTGCCACTTCATGCTACTTTGCCTACTGGATGTACTGTAGAGAGTATTTCCCGATCAAATATGAATCCGTCATTGCAGTTCGATCAACTAAAGAAAGAGTATTTATACGATGCAACCGACGGTCGTAGAGGAGGGAAGATCAGCACTAACGACCTCCTTTGGATGTAATAAGGATCGTAGAGGTGGGAAGACCGCTCACGACTCGAGGTTGGAGCCAAGATTGGGGCGAAAATTATGGACGAATTATTGACTCAAACTTTTTGTGCGAAAATTAAAAGTTTAAAGGGTTAATACAACGAAAAACTCTAAACTGGTGCACCTGTGATAAATTTATTCCAAACTAAAAACTTTAAATTGGTACACATGTGACAAATTTATCCCAAATTATTTTTTTGACTATAAAAAACCTTAAACTGGTACATTGTTGGTGCAATAAGAATGCTTGTTGCAGATGTTGCCGGATGCACAGAAAACAAATTTCAACAGCAAAGCCGAAAGGCTCGGCTCTAAATTGTAGGATTGAAGCTGTTTATATTGGAGATAGCATTCGTGCATTTCTCGATTTCATGTGGATCCACTCTCCGGAAACGACGAATGTGATTATGTCACGAACATCATCGATCGTGTGTGACGAAAAAAAATTGCTTGCTTGATAGAATGCACAGATCAAATTCATCCTCGCTGTTAACCGTGCGATTCCCATATTTCAGTTCACATAATTAACGATTGAGATGGTATCATCTGCTACGGACAAACCCGTCGTTTAATTCGCCAGCTATCGACTGGATTCGTGCTTGAAAAATCCCCTCTTCTCTCTCGATTTCCATCTCTCTGTTTCTTATGCTCAAGCCCACGAGGACACGGGGATGTACAAGTCCTCACTTTAATTAAATGAATTATTTCTAACTATTTGCCGAATATGAAATCAAGCGCCAACCATTCTTGATCCAAATAAATAATAGGTTGCACTTGGCCACGTGAGCCCGATTCACGTGGGCCGTTAAGGACACCAAGGTCCACTTTTTCTTTTTCTTTTTCCTCCTCTTTCCGGTGGCCGGTGAGGGTCGGCCTCCTTGTTAGATTTACACCGAAGTCGTAGGTGCTGTGGAAGGTGACCCAGCTCATGGCGTCGTTGCAGACGGGGCCGGACGACATCACCAGCTCGACGAACCGGGCCAAGTTGATCCCCTTGGCGTAGTTGCGCTTGAAGTTGACGCCCTGCCAACGGAGGAGCTCGATCGAGTTGAGGGCGTGGGGGCCCTAGGCGGCGTCAAAGTCGCAGAAGTTGAACTCCCGAATGAAGCCAAGGAGGTTACCGAGGGAGTTGGAGAGGGTGAGGCCGACCTGGATTTGGCAAGGGCGGCCTCATCGGCATTCGCTCTCACCCCGGCAAGGCCGACGCTCACTTGTGGCGGTAACGGCTACCCTTGCTTAGGCGAGGCTAGCCCTTGCCAGCCACCGAAAAGAGGAGGAAAAAAAACGAGAAAAAAAAGGAAAAAAATTTTAAAAAATAATTAAAAAATTCAGAAATTATTAAAATGTTATAAAAAAAATGTTCACGTTTGCGCCGATCATGGGATATAAGCCGGCTAGTGTCCAAGTCAACAATGTCCGGCCAAAATTAGCCAAAAGGACTTAATTGGCACTAGATCAAAAGGTTTAGAACTAAATTAACACAATTAAAAAGTTTAGAACTAAATTGACACAAATCCAATATGTTTAGGACTTTTCTGACACTTTGCCCTACAAAAAAAATTTGCCATATCAATATCAGAAAATGACTTCCACGCTATATTCAAAGTACACCCAAACATATAAAAAATAAATTCATTTTCTCTGAAAATAAGTTCCTTTCAAATATCCTCTGGCAAAGTTCACTTTCCGTGAAACAAATTAAGCTTAAATTGGTTTATTGAATCCGTATATCAGGTGATGCGACATACTTTTATTAACAGTGAATATGACCTAAAATTGACCACTTGTAGTCAGCCACATCGTTTAATATACAAATCTAGTAAGCCAATCTTAATATACTCGCGTTACTCTTTTGAGAAAACATGCGTGTGCTTTGAAAGAGAATCGTTTCGCTAATAGGTTACAAACCGCTCACACTTGAATTTTGCCTACCTAAAATCATATTGTAATTTAAACTCTCTAACAAAAGATGATGTCTAAATGACCAAAAGGAAAAGGGTTAATACTATGAAAAATCCTAAACTTGTACTTCTGTGATAAATTTACCGTTAAATTGGATTGGTACCATGAAAAATTACAAACTGGTACACCTGAGACAAAAGGAGGGTAAAACCTCAAACTAATACATCCGTTAACTGTCACATGTCATTCAACTAAAAAATTTGACGGAGGGTAAAATTATAATATCTGTATCAGTTTGTGGGTATTTTGTAATAAAAAAAATAATTTTGGGTAAATTTATCACAAAATTATCGATTTTGAATTTTTCGTGATATTAACTCAGAGGAAAATGATGATGATGTCTGAAAAATCATTTTGTTTATTCTCAAATTCAAATTCTTCGAATAAAATATACACTTTTGACTATAGAAAGTCATTTTAAAAGAACTTGCGTGACCTATAAACCCTCTCTCAACGAACCCCCCCAACTGAGTACTGATACGCCCACCCTCTCTCTCTCTCTCTCTCTCTCTCTCTTCATCACTCACCACTGACCACTCAGGCTCGCACCAGAGACGAACGTCCCTTATCCATCCATGGGCGGCGACGAAACCTCCGACGCCCGGAACACGGCGAGGCTCCGCATCCTGGAGCTCGCCAACATGATCAGCGTCCCCATGTCCCTCAATGCCGTCGTCCGCCTCGGCGTCCCCGATGCCCTCTGGCAGGGCGGCTCCAACGCCCCCCTCTCCGCCTCCGAGATCCTCTCCCGTTCCCTCCCCAAGGGCGGTGGCGACGCCGAGAACCTCCAGAGGCTCCTCCGCATGCTCGCCAGCCACGGCGTCTTCGAGGAGCACGTCGCCTCCGGCTGCTCCGAGCGGAGGTACTCGCTCACCGAGGTCGGGAAGACCCTGGTCACCGACGCCGAGGGCCTGTCTTACGCCGCCTACGTGCTCCAGCACCACCAGGTAATCGAAATCGCCCCAAACTTTCTCTCTCTCTCAGTCCATATCGCATGTTTCTGGGTATCATCATCATCTCCGATCGATCTTCGAGACATTTGCTTCACTGAATCGCAAAGAAGCATCAGTATGTTCTCCTGGACAGGAACAGGATTGGGTCGTTTTCCGTGTATTGTTACTGCTCGCATTTATGGAGTTCTTATCTTTAGACGGCCTAACCAAAAAAAAAAAAAAGAAGAAAAAAGAAGAATTAAACGTATCCTGTTTGGGCTGCGTTTGCTATATCCTGTTTGGTGAATTCCAATACTAAAGTCGGATATTTTTCACATCCTATTTTGTTCATTATTCGATATGAACGGCATAGTAGTGCCAAATTGTACGAACGGAGACGATAAAAATCTCTTGCGATACTGTTGCCTGCTTCTTTTTTTATTTGTTTATTTTTTTTTTATAATTTTTCCCTCTCTTTTTTTATTTCTTTTTACCTCTTTATGTCATTCTCTAAGAACATTTTATTAAATGGTAAATATAAATACTAAAGATATATTCACATTTATTGAATCTATAATAGGATAAAAAGAAATTCAAATATAGAAATAGAAATAGGAATAAGTAAAAACGAAATTGTTGTTATTTTTTTGTTATTTTGAATTTTTTATATTAGAATTTAAATTTTATTTATATTCAAATATTATTTTACTTTTATTAATTTTAGAAGTTTGTTATTAGAAAAAAAATAACTTTTATATTATGGATATTAAAATCTTATTCACTTTTATCTCACCTCTCCCAGCAACTTTATTTTGTCTTGAATAGGAACCAAACACAGAATAGGATAAATTTATTCTGACTACCAAACATAGTCTCAGTGCTTAATTCACTTTTAATTAAGGGTAAATACCACAAAAAAATCTCAAATTATACATACTGTGACACAAATACCCTCATTTTTTTTGTGTCCCATATATTCCATCCAGGATATATTTGTCGCGTTAGTATAAATTTCGGGTTTTTTATGAAAAAAAAATTGTGGTATTTGTGTCACACTGAGCAACTTTAGGATTGGGGTATTTGTATCACAGTAGATATAATTTAGGGTTTTTAGTGATATTAACCCTTTAATTAATTTTGAGGCCATTCATGTGGCATTTTTATGTGAGTATTTTATCGTTCAATCCAATAGTTTAAGTTGATAAGTATGTATATAAACTCCATACACGAAGACATTGAGAAGTTCAGGCATGACCCGGCATCCTCGTAGACTGGTAGAGTATTGTTGGTGAGAGGTCACAGGATCAAAAAGCCGTCGTTGTCTAGATCTAGTGGCGAAAGGTGTCGCATGAGTTACTCGTTTTGGATGGCATGACGGAAGGTTAGCTGGAGCGAGTGTGAGGATTCAACATCATTTGCTTATCAACAAAGTGGGTGAGACTCATTCAAATTTGGGTTGTGGAAAAGTGATTAATTTTGCCTTTTCTTCTCCCCTTCTCCCCCCTTTTCAAAGTGGGGGAACATCTTAATCAATCGTACCGAGATGGGTAATACTTCCATTTCGCATCTCTTCGGTGCGGATAAAGCGCCGGAGAAAAGACCCATGATGGGCTCGAGTCATCGATCGGCGCGCGCCTGAGTCCAAACGCATAAGATTGTTTGCTATCGTGGGCCGATCGAAAGAGTACATGGAGATGAAATGAAAGGGGTGGTGAATTTTTGTGATAAACGGAAGACAATGGCTGTGTGATTAGCATGAACTCACTTTCCATGTTCAGAGGAAGATGACAAGTCACTCTCCACGATGTCTATTCACATGGCCAGATGGATTGGTACTATCTAGGGAAATCTTTTTCTTTCCATGACGTCATTAATACGAGTGTGGCCCGTCCGTGCATAGATTAAGCTATTAATTTACTCATTATCTTCTCATTAATCTGTATTTTATAATGTATAGTACGGTGAAGATTCCCAAGACATCGATATCATTCAGAACATTCTAGCTTAGAACTTCCCAGCCAATGGCAGCAGAATCTTTCCGTTCGTCTGCACACCAAAAAATAAAAAAAAAAATTTATATTTCTCGGCACGTGAGCAGGACGCAATGATGAGGGCGTGGCCGCTGGTGCACGAGGCGGTGGCAGACCCCGCCACGGAGCCCTTTGCAAAGGCCAACGGCAACACCGCGTACGCCCACTATGGGAAGAACCCGGAGATGAACGAGCTGATGCAGCGGGCCATGTCGGGGGTGTCCGTGCCGTTCATGAAGGCAATACTGGACAGCTACGATGGGTTCTCCGGGGTGGGGAGGCTGGTCGACGTCGGCGGGAGCGCGGGGGATTGCCTCCGGATGATCATGCGGAAGCACGAGCACGTGCGGGAAGGGATCAACTTCGACTTGCCGGAGGTCGTGGCCGAAGCGCCTCCTATTCCCGGTAAGATGCACGCATGAATGAGTTCTTTCTTTCTTCTTGTGAGAAAATATTTCAAGAATCATATCTTTAAAACACGATAAATAATAATTTATCTCGGGACACTAAATTTAAAGTTACATGTAAAGTTATTACACCTTTCTCACCCATCACTATCTTGGGAATGCAGTTTTTGTTTTTTTCTCATTTAAAATGACTTAAAAAAAGGGTTTAGTCAATTTCACATCTGTTAACAAGAAACCCCAAAAAAAAAAGAATTTTTCTACGGAGAGCCTTTAGGTACTTGTTTAGTAACTCGTTAAGGAAATATTACAGCTCCCTAAACACGTTAACTGCACCAAGAAATTTTGTGATCAGAGTTTGAACATTAAATTTGTTAAATATATATCAACAAGAGCCCTAAGGGTATTCATACAAGGCGGCATAAGAAATATCTTTCGCATTGCATCCAATGCTCTTCCATGAATTTAGCAAGGTTAATATGTTCAATGTACCTAGTCAATGAGCCCGTTAGGTTAGATATCAAGTCTTAATGCATCCAGGTCTTTCCGTCGTTTGTACATTTTTGAAAGTTTTCGGACTTAATTACACTTTCATGATAACTTTTAGGATTTAATTGCACTTTTTGAAAATTTTAGGACTCAATTGTACTTTCTTGATAAGTTTTAGGACTTTCAATGTACTTATCTTGTAAATTTTTTTTGTAAAATGAACAGGCCTGAGCAGACCTATTTGGGTGGGCTCAAGCTCAAGAAGAAAATTAATTGCCTGGGCTTGCTTAAGTCTTGTTTCGGGCCTTATCTGCTAAGATGGGCCTAGGCAGGCTTAGCAGGCTATCGGGCCCATGATCTGGTCAACTGTTCTGCTATTCAATATGTGGACAAAGTTATCAAAGTTAGCACATATACACAATGTCTAATATTATGCAGAAGAAAAGACCATTACGTTTTTTCAACAAGCAACTGGCGCGCACTTAGTCACTAGCTCTTTTCAATTTGACCTTACCTCCACCCGCATGCCATAACTCTTGCTGCATCAAGCCCTTGGAAGAAGACCTGGCAATTTGCTAACATAGAACTGGTTTTCCAGCTCATACTTTTTTTCACCTTTTAACTTTCCTATCGAAAAATAGTAACCTCAGCAAGCTTGAAACCTATGATGCTCCAAGCTTCAGAGAAACTTGTCCGTTTGCCGCTGGAATGGAATGTAACGGAGTCGAGACACATTCATGTTCTTTTTCATAGGTCAACTAGGAGAAGGACGGAATACATTGAAGTTGTTTCACCGTAATCCATGAAGAAATGGAGGAGTCTACCTCAAATTACACAAGAAAACACGAATTTCACTATCCTTTTTTCATCTACCCTCTAAGAGGATAAAAACAGTCTTCTGGTGGCTGAGGATTAATTAAAGCTGTCCCATTTTACAGGGGTGACCCATGTTGGTGGTGACATGTTCAAGTCCGTCCCTGCTGGTGATGCCATTTTCATGAGGGTAAGTTGTTCGCTGAACTCCCCATGTTTGGTATTGATTCTATTTCACTAGATAGATAGTTTCGCTGCAAATGATTTCGTGAACAACAAAAGGAATTTGCATCTTGCTGTTTATTCCCTTCCAACATGGACTAAAACCTAATGAAGTTCGCCTCAAACAGCTGTATGTCAGCCACAGACTTGATGATCATATAGTTCTGTATAATCTAATGACTTGAAGGCTACATCAGCTAAAATGCATTGTGTTAATTGATACATTTTCTGCTGGAGTAGGAAATCCACCGTATGCTTTCCTTGGTAAAGTTATAATTTATGTAATGGAATTTTTATGAATTCTTTTCTGATCGTGTCCTCATCCCAATCTGTACAACTAGGCTCTAATTTAAATATCGGACCATATTTTACATTGGTCATGAGTTTTCGATCAAATTCCACCTTTCTGAGCACTTCTGGTAGTAGAAAACTACTAGCAAATAATTTATTCGATACCATATTGCACACGTTCGCCCCATCTTGGGAGTGAGTGTTGTATTCTTTTCCATCAAGCCAAGGCAAGTGACAAACTCTTCTTATACCTCTCAAGCCATTCTCTTGGCTTTGTTGTCGATATCAATCTGTACCAGACACAATGATGGCCTCATGGTATGATATGCCTAGTTCATCGAGTGAGTCTCTAAGCCCTCCTTCCGAGTCCTCTTTCAAATGTCGGTAATGTCAAGTAGAGTTCGTTTCATAGAGCCTTTATTGCTTTAAATGGTGAAATACAAGGGCATGAGCGATTGATGAAGTGGATATGTAGCTTACTTTTGGATCATGAGAACCTTCACCTTTTAGGTACACCCTTGGGCCCGACATCCAAACCAACCACATTAGGCTATGAAATTACCGTGCCGGTGAATTCCAGCCCATGGTTCACTCACCTAATAGTTCTCATGAGAAATGCTCAGATTTTATTTCGACAGCTAGCACCATCTAGAGAAGGAATCAGAGTCCACACTCTGAATTCTTTGGGTGGAAGTTTCGCTTTTCATGATTATGTGGGTTCTACTCTCCTTTTGCTGGGAAAGATCTTGGCTAGACCTGGCTTATGTGGACCAAGTTAAATTGTGTGTAGCCTATGATAATCAAACTCACCCTATAATTGCAGTTTTAGCCAAGTTTGATTTGTTCTGTCGATGATGTCATTAGTAGGTCCAATCATTTCAAGAATTATAGGTGTATGCGTTGTGCATGTTTTTTGCTAAATAAAGCCATGCGCTTTTTAACACCGAGGATGGTATTGTGGTCACAGTGGATATTGACGACTTGGACGGACGACGAGTGCAAGCAGATACTGGAGAACTGCTTCAAGGCACTCCCGGTGGGAGGGAAGCTGATCTCCTGTGAGCCAGTGCTACCGAAGCACTCGGATGACAGCCACAGGACTCGGGCACTTCTCGAGAATGACATCTTCGTGATGACCATCTACAGGGCCAAGGGCAAGAACAGGACCGAGCAGGAATTTCAGCAGCTCGGCATCTCCGCCGGCTTCCCTAGTTTCCGAGCACTGTACATCGATTACTTCTATGCCGTGTTAGAGTTCCAGAAGTGAAAGAGTGTCTTGGAAGAGGGACTAATGATAATGCTCTACTGGAGGCATTGTCCACACAATATTAGTAAGATGTGGGGGCTACTACCGTCAATTTAATTTTCGGATTGAGGCTCTTTTGACCCCGCACTTGGTAATTATCATCTATCTGTCTTTAATTACTCAGCGTCTTGCACTACCTGTTCGTGAGTATACATGTCACTCAGTTACGACAAGCATCAAATGAATAATACGAAAGTGACAAGGCATTAATCATAGAGATTATGCCTTGCAGAGGGGTTGCTCCTTTTGCTGTATAAGCTGCTTCCATCTTTCTTTTCATTCCAGTTATGCAACATGGGAGACGTTCTAATTCCTTATGCTGTGGGATGAATGATTTCTCTTTCCTATCCCTTCATTATGTTACTTGGTGATCTTTACTAACCGTCAATCTTGCAGTCAATTTGGTACTTATCGGTAGTTACCGAGTCGCTTGACACGAGGAGCAAGGGTGTGTTATCTAGAGAATTAAGAGCCGGGATATATTCACGACGTACAAACTTCACTAAGATGGATAATCTCAAGTCTATGAAATACTCCAGCGAACCTCATATACATGAGGCGACATGTACTTGGAGTAAAAGATTGCATATGTTCAAGAATAAGGTGGACAAGAAACATCAAACTTTATTTTCGAAAGTGATTGCGAAAAGAATCATGTTAGCTGGCTATCAATTCAACTTTGTCAACCTCGTTTTCTTGATGAATGCCATTCTCAAATGACGATCGTCGCTTTCACATAAGCTGTTCAATATGACTAATGTATTTATAAATTCGCAGAAAGATACAGTCTAATAGACTATAATAAGCACATTCACCTTTTTTTCCGAATGAAAAGCCTAATGAATTGGGAGAGATGCTTCAATAAATGGGAGAAGGCGACAAAGATCGGAATATGCAGCCTTGGAAGATGTTGTATGATGAGAAAAACAATGTGCCTAGGAATTGTAATCTGCATTCGACGTGGTCGAGGAAGAGAGATGCTGCTTCTGGCCTTGAACTAAACGAGGGATAACATTAGGAACATCGTTGCACGCGTGGGTGAGAGAGACTTGGTATGTTGGACAATATCAAGGTGAAAGTAAGGGGACAAACTTTCATTGCTTGACATTCCCTGCGCAGTCAATGGTCGGATCAAAGAAAATTCTGTAGTAAGCTTACTAGTTGCTGCCTGAACTGAATGCGCAGCCAACAAAGTACTAGATGAACCGGGGTGGTCCATCCAATACATAAAGTTTACCGTTGTGCACGATCTGGTAGGCCGCGCCTATCTTAAGGGTACAAAAATATTAGTCATCGTATAGTCCATGAAATGTGACCGCACGATGATGAATCCTTTTGAACCAAAGGTGACTGATCGAATCCTACAGTCATGACAAGGCGCTCGAAAACGATAATTAAGATCTTGCTATTAGAAAGAAGTTATAGTCATTGAAATCTCTTTTTGAGTTTTGAGCGACTGTGTACTGATTTTACATATGTAAGTTACCCATTTTCATCCTTTGAAACAATCTCGATTAGATCTAAGCTGAAATACTTTGTATGGCATATAGAACCCTAATTTTTATATAATGACACACATTGTTGCACCAAAAACTCATGCCCGGCCCTGCTGATTCCTATCTTGCACTACACTACAATACCACCCAATTTCATGTCCTAAATTTGGTGGCTCAGCTCTCTCTCTCTCTCTCTCTCTCTCTCTCTCTCTCTCTCTCTCTCTCTCTCTCTCTGGTGAAACTCCTAAAGTTGGTAATTTAGTTTGGTGCAGAAGATAGAAAACACTAACCCATATTACAATGACCAGCTAGCTAACTCTCTCTCTCTCTCTCCCCGATTTGCTTTGTCTGTCATTTATTCCTACATTCCCTCATTGGTGCTCTCTAAGCAATGTCTGCCCTTGTTGTTTCTGGGGTAGTTAAGTTGGGTGATCATACCCTTCATATGAAGCTCTCTAAGAAAACTGAGTGAAGAAGCATTGAACTGTAACAAAAGAGAGGATGTTCAGATTGCACAGGAACAGACCTGCCAAATCAGGGGAGAGACTTGATTTCAAGCTCTCTCAGCTCAAAGCTCTCCAGGTACTCCTTCACTTTCTTTCCTGTTCTTCTGTCGCTTTTTTCAGTGTCAGACAAGTTAGTTTGATCTCAAGGGTCACGAGGCATACTGGCACTAAATCACTTCCTTGCTTTTTTTTTTTTTTGGGTCTCTAAAATGGTAAGTGTGCGTGCATTGTGGGGCATATTTAATTGATTAAAAGACTTCCTTTTACACAATTGAAGATCTTTATCTCCTATGTTGTGATTGATGCAATCTTCTTCCATTGATATGTCAAGCAGACAAATGGTTTAAGGAAGTTATGCAAAAGTGTGGCAAAAATTGTCATCCATTACATATAGTTGAAATTGGTATTGTTTATCATGATAGGTTTGGATTACAGAATTTCTGATCATGGTAATAGTGCAGCTATATTGTGCATTGAAGAAAAATAAAACTTAGCTTCAACCTTTTTCTCTTGAACTAGATCCAGTTTGCATTCCTTTTCATCAAAATTAAAGGGTTACTGCATTTTTCAGTAATTGATAGACTAATTTCTTGGTACCCTTTTTGCCACAACAGGTACCAAAAGGATGGGACAAGCTCTTTGTTTCCGTAATTTCTGTAGAAACGGGGAAAACAATTGCTAAGTCGAGCAAAGCGGTGGTGCGAAATGGAAGTTGTCAATGGACTGAGACTCTGGCGGAATCTGTGTTGGTTTCGCATGATGATTCTTCCAAAGAATTGGAAGACTGCCTCTTGAAGCTCATCATTTCCATGGTAACATCCGCAGCACTGCAGATTTTATACATGATGATTGATAGTTATAAGTATCACACCAGAAAACGTTGGTTCTAATCAACACTTTCTAAGTAGTCAGTTCTTAATAGAGCTTGTGTGAGCTTTTCATCGATGCTTAGTACGAACCGCTGCAAGATAATATATGTGGTAGTCACAATTCCGGGGGCTGTCTATTACAGGGATCAGCTAGATCTGGCATCCTCGGAGAGGCAACAATCAACGTGACAAACTACATCAGTTCCAGCGCTTCTGTCCCCATTTCAGTCCCACTGAAGAAGTGCAACTACGGAACAGTGTTACAAGTGAGTTGTACTAAAAGGCACATATCTGTTCTTGTTCTTCTCGGAATTGACAAATCATTGAAAAAAAATATAGGCAATTGCCTGGAACTGTGATACGGAAGCTAGAGGTACCCCAGCAGCATTGAAAGACAGTAGAGTACTACACTAGTTTTACCTTTTATATCAGGAGCACATGAAGTACAACATGTATCTAATGAGCTAAGTGCAACAAAATCTAAATGAGCCAGTAAAGAAAACAAAGAGAAAGAAGGAAATGTAGTGAGTTTCTTCACAGGAAAAAGAGTAGTTTGGAGAGATCAAAATGTTGTTGCCTTTTCTTTTTCTTTTGGCTAAGAGTTTTCGCTGTTGACATAGAATTGAGTAAATATCCAACCAATTCTTGTGTCTTTGCGGTTGTAAAATGAACTGAACGTTAGTGACGGATGATTTACATGCATTCCAATTAGGAGGATCAGTTGAAGAAATTGTTTGTAAACCGCAATATAAGTTCCTACTCCTGATTCTACTGGCTTTGACTTGAGTGTACAATGTTTGGCATAAGTTCGATGTCCTAGTAATGTTTGTGCCTCTTCAGATTTCCTTAACACAGATTTGCATACCTTACTGCTTTGCAGGTCACAATACACTGCCTGACTTCAAGAACAAAGCTCAGGTTGAAGACAATTTAGCAGCTTCTTCCCTTTCATTGCCTTTCACTAGCTGTCTGTTTAGCAACTAATCGTTCATACATTCAGGGATGATGAATCTAAGGAGACAAATTCTCAAGTCAATGAATTGAACTCAAACAGCCTCGATGGGGACTTCAAGTCAGATAGGTCCGGAAGCACAATCACAGAGAACGCTGCCACTTCCTCTAACAAAGAACTCAGGTCAACTTCGCGCCCGGAACATCTTGCAAGTAGGGTATGTATAGCGATTTCCTCTAAGTGCATCTGTATATTTTTATACTGAGCTGCATTTTTCCTTGTTAATTACTTCAATTATAACTTAGGTGCTAATTTGTTTCCTGGAATATGTCTGAGGAAATATGATATCTCAGATTCTAAAGTGTTGTCAAAGTCACTAACTATCATGTGATGCTGATACTGCACAAATATTTGAGGCAGGCTCTCATTTACCTTTCTTAAGTCAATTAGCCACAAAAAATTGACCGAACTTCTTGACATCTCTGTAGGAAACAAGTTTTTCGTCCTCTGCTTCTCATCAGAGCTTCGGCTCTGCAGAAAATTCCTCTCACAGAGAAGACCTTTCACCTGAAAATAAATTGAGAGTTGACAGGCATGACCAAAGCATTGGAGAGACTTCAGTCAGTTCCCTCAGTGTAGATGGTGGCAATCTGATCAATAGCTCTTCTCAATTGAATCCTCCATTCTCTAATTCACAGATTATGGGTTCGGGTGATCAGTCACATAATAACAAGGAAATGTTATCTGTGCGGATTTCTGGTTCCTCTAAAGATCTGTTGGAAGCCGCAGAAGACACGATAGAAGAGCTTCGTGCGGAGGCTAAAATGTGGGAGCGAAATGCGCAAAAGCTAATGCTCGATTTGGATATGGTGAGGAAGGAGTTCTCTGATCTGTCCAAGAATCACAAGGATCTGGATATGGAGTTCTCGGCAGCTAAGACGGAACGGGAGTGCTTAAGAAAAGAAGTCGAACAGCTAAAGCTGCTGCTTGACAACTCACTAGCGGACCAAACGACCGTGGATGATTCAAATGGCCAAAAGGAAGCAGTAGGCCGCATTCAAAAGGAGTTGGAGGAAGAAATAAGATTCCTGAAAGAAACAAATGCTGATTTGACTCTGCAGTTGAGCAGAAGTCAGGAATCGAACATTGAGCTTGTTTCTGTTCTACAGGAGCTCGAAGAGACAGTTGAGAAGCAGAAACTTGAGTTGGAAAATGTTGCAATTGTTCAGTCAAAGTTCAGTGATATGGAGGATTTGCTACTATCAAATATAGCCGAAAACAAGAGTCTAAAGACCCAGTTGCAGCAAACCCAGGAATCGGAGAAGGATCTGCTAGTTAAGCTGCAACAGATGGAAAAGGCCTTAGAAGACGAAAAGCTTATGATGGATGAAAAAGTCGGTTTGGAAAAGAGACTCTTAGAATTTGAGAGAGAATACACAAGGAAATTATCAGATAAGGAGGAAGAAATTGCCAATCTAGAGGCCAAGCTAACCGAGACTCTTGAAGAAAAGCATTCTCGAGAGTCTGCTGACGGAGGTGATGAGTATCTGATTAAAGAAATCGAGTCCCTAAAAGAAACGGTTCAGGAGCTGGAGAGCGACTGCAATGAGCTTACAGAAGAAAACTTAGACCTCTTATATAAGCTTAAGAAATTGAACAACTGTCTTTACGTCGCAATCGACTGTAGAGATGGCCAGAATGATAAGGCGGTGAATGAAATGCTCGTTGCAAATGAAAAAAGCAATGAGTGCTTGAAGATGGATGCAGAGGACAAAGATGAAGAATTTGGTAAGGACTCAGTCAAGGATGGGAATGAGGAGCGAAAAATTGAGGAGATGTTACTTTTGAAAGAAGAGGAGATTGAATACCTGAGAGAATGCCATACTAAACTAGAAGCCCTGGTTTCAGATCTAGAGAAGGAAAAGATTGAGCTAGAGGAGAATTTGCAAATTATGCACAGAGAGAGTGAGATAACCGCTAAATGCCTCACTGACGTCCAAAATGATTTTGTGGTTCTAAGCGGCAGTGTGGATTCCCATGTTTCTGCCAACAAAACTCTTGAGAGGAAAAATTCTGAGATTGGACAAGAAAATGTAGCCTTGTCTATGCGAATAGCAGAAATGGAAGCTCAACTAAGCTATCTGATGGACAAGATGGAAGAAACCCAGTTGGAGCTGGAGAGATCGAGAGCACTGTGTGAGAGCCTCCAGGATGAGATATCCAAGCTGAATTTTTCAAGCAAGAAGCAGAAGACTCAGCTAGAAAAAGAAAAGAAGGAAATGCGAAACCGGTGGTCAGAGGCTCAGGAAGAATGTGCTCATCTTAGAGAAGAAAGAGCACAGTTACAAGCCGATGTTGAGAGTCTTGCCGGAGAATGCTACTCTCTTCAGGAATTAAACGGAAAGTTAAAGATGCAGAACGTGGAGTTGCATGAGGAATTAGGAAGCTGTCTAAGTGGTTGCTCCACAAAGGTTGAGATATTAGAAGAAAATATCTCTTCCCTGCTTGACGATGTCGCAGCAAAAGAAAGAACATTTAAAACAGAAATAGATGCACTTCTCGATGAAAACCGCAAACACAAGGAGCAGCTTGCTGTGGGAGAGAGCATGTTAAATCAGATATACGCAGGCAAAACAGTTGAAGTCGAGAACCTTCAAAAAGAGATTGAACATTTGACTAATCAGATATCGGAAATTCATGATGAAAGAGAGAGAATAGTGTCTGATGCTGCCAACGAGGTATCCAAATTATGCGCAGATAAAGCTGAACTGGAACTTGCTCTTCACGAAATTCGATCTCAACTGCAAAGGACAGATCATGAATTGAATCAAGAGATCAAACATTTGACTAATCAGATATCAGAAATTCATGATGAAAGAGAGAGAATAGTGTCTGATGCTGCCGAAGAGATATCCAAATTATGTGCAGATAAAGCTGAACTGGAACTTGCTCTTCGCGAAACTCAATCTGAACTGCAAAGGAAAGATCGTCAATTGAATGAGATGCAAGAACAGTACGAAAGGAAAGTGAATGACCTGATACAGGAACTTTCTGCTTCCCAAGAGGACCAGAAAGCACTGGAGGCTACTGAACAGAGACTGTCGAAGCTGTTGGAGAATCACAAATTGAGGGAAGAGAAATTAAGAACCAACGTTAACGAACTTGAGCTGAGGCTTACTGTATGTGAATATGACCGCCAGCGACTCATGGATGAATCCACCAACATGAAGGCCCATCTGCAAAATTTTGAGAATCTTCGGGATCAACTTTTGGCGTTGAAAAATGAGCTCACTGTAACCAAATACGATAAAGAGGAAGCTTCAGCCTCGCTGCGATTAGTATCCAAAGAATGTACGGACCTGAAGGCCGAGAAAAATGTACTTGTCAAGAAAATCTCCACCCTACAGGAGCTGGTAAATGATTTGGAAGATTGCAGGCAGAGCAAAGTTATCTTAGAAGAGAAGCTTCAATGTACGGAGGGTGAATTAATGGCCAAACAGGCTCAATGTGATGAGGCTGTCGAGGTGAAAAATGAGCTGAACCAGATCAGGAGAGAGCACAAGCACTATCAGCGGATGACACAACAGCTTGAAGAGCAGAAAGACGAGTACCTGAGAAGAGCCCGAGCCTCTGAAGAAGAACTCAATACTATGAAGGAAGAGAAAAAAAACCAGAAGCATGTTAACAAAACAAGGAACCCGGGATTATCTAAAGCTCATATGAAAGTAGCAAATTCAGCCAATGAAGATTCAAGCTCGTCAAAGGTTGGGATATTCATTTATAGTTGTTTGAGTGCACTTGTCATCATTATATATCGAGTTTAACTCATAAACTGTATTTATTGTGGCAGCGTGAGATAAGAAGGAAGCTGGTGGCGAAGAATGTACGGCAACAAGTAGTGAAAGATCAACCTAAGATATCCAATGCCCGGCATCACATAGAGGTAATGTAACACAAGCAGCTCTTCACTTTCTGTGTTTTACCCTCACTTTTCTGTGAATTTGAACCTTTCATTATAGCTTCAGCATCCTCATTTCTGTGGACCTTCCGTAATTTTCTCTTATTAAAGCTTTGGTGGTCATGTCGTTGCTTGTAGATGATTCATCTGAAAATTGGAATGTCATCATTGATTCATATTCTCCCTCTCCTCTGTCCACTTGACAGGACATCCATATCAATAAAAGCGATGCCGAAAGCTTCTATGATGTTGGAGTCGATCCTAGATCAAAAGTATCTTTACTTGAGAATGATCTTGTTGATTCTGCAGTAGAGGATGACTCGGTTAATATTCCACTTAGCAGGTAATTTCATGTGATATCTCAAAGATATTCATAGTATTAGCGCCTAGATTTCTGCTCATAGAATATCTAATATTTGTAATTTGCATAGAAGATTGAAAGTGTGCAACTAAAGAAGTGTTGCCCGGATAACATATGTATGCCGGATATGAAACTCATATTTTCAACCATTTTAGCAGTGGCTAAAGACCGCCTTTTCCTGCAGATTGCCAGGAGGGCATCCCCCTCCAGACTCTCCTAGAAAAGAAACTCCCGAAGGCGAAATAGTCATGAGAAAAAAGTTTGAGCGCACAAAGTCACGGCTAGAGTCCGAGTTGAGAGACATACGTGATCGCTATCTCCATATGAGCCTCAAGTACGCAGAGGTGGAAGCTCAACGCGAGGAACTTGTGATGAAGCTGAAGGCTTCCCAGAGCGCCAAGAGATGGTTCTCCTGAAAGGCAAAATTTTTCTGGTGAATGTTATAGCGTCTATGTAAGTTATGAGTGTCTTTCAAAAAAAAGTGTGAACAGTCCTGAAGTTTCAACTTTCAATCACTTTAAACTGTCATCAGGTCAAAAAAAAAAAAGAAACAATAAGGCAGCAGAGAAACTGCTTGTTGCAGGAGGATTAGAAGAAAGGGAGATCAACACATGCTGTCCCGTTGACGACCACCGTAGCCGATACGACACACAAAGAATTTTTCCATGCTTCGATTGCAAGTGAATCTGTTTCTAGCCGAATCAAACCAGACAAGAGGGGTGTATTTGTATTGCTGTAGATGTGAAAAATGCTCTGTAGTAACAGGGTGAAGTGAATCATAACCTCTCTTTGATGCTTATTCCCTTGCTTCACAATGAACAATGGGTGTTCATGGTTGTACAAGTTAATAGGCAATTTGGATTTGTCTTGTGTTTTCCACAATCAAATTTTGGGAATCGGTAAACGAGCGTTATGGAAGAACAACAAGAAATGGTAACTTTCCTTTCAGCGGATTGCATGATCTAAGGTGGTTGATAGTTCAAATAATGCTTTTTAAGTACATGTCACCATGAGCCAGCAGTCCAACTACGACCCAAATATGAACTTTTCTACTAGGATTGTTGTCTGAATACCTCGTCGATCGCTGCTAATTTTGAGGCCACATGTCCCACAAAGAAAAGAGTATTTGTCTATCTATTGATCCGTGGATAAAAGAAAATTGATATTCCTTTTAGCTTTGCACTATCAATATCAGTTGTTCTTCAGCAAATTTTTTTTACGCTTTTCTGGTCCAAACAATGGTTTAGAATCAAGGCAACCTGGAAAACACGTCTCTCTCACTTTCTTTTTTATTTTCCGAATGACGTGGTTTCACTAGAGTCAGTGACTAGACTAATTAGTAATTACTATAGATACCCGCGAAATAACTCATCCACGTGCTTCGGGTTGGGCTCCATCCGCAGAAGACCTGACCGTCAACCCAATGCTTAGTTGGAAGACATTTTTAGACCGGCTTGCGCGAGGACATTTAGCGAGAAACTCCAACCCGACCTAGTGTGACCCCGGCCAAGTCCGGCCCGGCTCGAAGATTTGTATACAAAAGTTTGATAACAAGTGGATTAGGCCCAATCTCATAGCCCAACGCCTGGCTTGCCAAATGATCACCTTGCTATGGAGAAATGATCATGCTCCCTCAAGAATATTCTTGTCCAAAGAAGTCGTGATTAATGTACCGCATTTGACTCTGTCCTAATCAAACGCTGATTCTCAAATTTATTTTGCTTTCACTAAAGATGAAAACGAAATTGAAAAAACAAAAAGAATAGATTATGTAAGCAAAAGCATCCTAAACTCTCTTTCTATAAAAATAAAAAAGAGAGAATGATGCTGCTAAAGTCACAACAGAACATGAGATCTCGCTTTATTACAATGGAAGGGAGACGCAACAAAGCGATGACGCTAAAAGGTCCCCCTTATTCCTTCCTTTGTTTAATTTTAAGTGGCTGATCTCATGCAAACTTTCAAAAAATCCTCTTCTCAAAAAAAGAAAGACTTGTACTATAAATAACGCATATTCCAAGGGCCTAAATTAAAAAAAAAATAGACTCGTTAACAAGTACTTTTTCAGTCATTTGTGATAAGCATATTCGTATGGAATATTTCAATTTTTAAATTGGCGATTACACACTCTATATAGAAGAACAGTTAATACATTGAAAATCTTTAATATATATATATATATATATATATATATATATATATATATTTGCAAATGGCTATTTAATCGGTTTCTTTGGACTTTCGTTAACAAATTTCACTAAGAAGGAATATACCCTTTCTCCCCCATAAAGTACAAAAAAGAGAGAAGCTGTGCTGGGATGTGGAGAGCATATCCCTTGGAAGATGCTGCCATTTGCGACACCTTTTCTTTACTCCTTTTAAACCAAAAAGTGACACTTACTCAAGTCACCTCGCTCTCTTATTGCTCTCATGACCAAAAGAAACAAATATGATAAACTTTTGCCTGCTATATATATATATATATATATATAGCAGTACACTCTACTTCCTCAAACCCTCTTGTGTGCTACACTTAACTTCCCAAACCCACCATGTAGTGCTCTTTCGGCTCTCCATAGCCACCCCCTGAATATGAGTCCTCTGGGGGGTGGCTTTGGCTTCTATCTCAGTGTTGCTGTAGATGTTTTTGTTACTGACTATGTTGTGTGGTGTGTGTGACTTTGTGTATGTGTGCTTGATCCTTCCCATGCAACTATGATTCCAAGGTCAGGAAAAAAAAAAAAAACGGGAGCTGCTTGTTATGATCTGATGAGGGGAAGTTTGTGGATCTCCCAAGATAGGGCAACTTTGGATCCTTTGGCATTTCCGGGTTCTTTTCGGAATCCTTCTTTCTGTGTCTTTCGGGCGATTTCTCTCCGCGAGGGAAGAAGCTACCATGGAGAGCAGAGCTCAGCGGCCCACATTTCTTGTCTTCTTGCTTTTTCGCGTTTGCTTCGAAGTGAATAAGAAGAATTGCCTGGAGTTGGTATTGGTCATGTATTTGCAGGCTTTTCTGGGTGGGGTTGGTGATGTTTTTATTATGAATAATGGCTGGATTTGCTATTGAATTCAAGCTGTGATATTGACTGTCATGTTTTAGAATAAGTCAAAACTGTTGAAGAAACTAGAAACTATGTGCTGCTCACTTGATCTCATCTCATACTTTTGCTGCATATTTGGGTCCTGTACGATTCAATGAGTTCCTCTGGTTATAGGTTTCGATTTTGTTTTTTTGCTAAGTACATAGTTGTTTAGGATCACGATGGCCGGGAATTCGTGCATTTTTTTCTTTCCTAATATCATAATGGTGTCTTGTCAAATTCTTATCTCTCGTACTAGTGACTATATTGCTGCTTGGTGATTTGGAGGAATTTTTAAGATGGGCTTATGAGAAGAGCAAAAATTTTGAGAAAATTCCAAAAACCACCCCAAATTGGACGCACTTCTCAAAAAAGCCCCCGGATAGAACTTACTTCAAACGACTCTCGGATTGGACCATCGTGTTCCAAATAACCCTCCTCATCCCCAGCAATAAAATGCACATCCCTGTGATCACGTGCCCCTTTCTTAACTTCGGACAAGGGCATTTTCATCCCAAAAATACAAATTTGAGAGAGGAGAAGGTGAAATCGCAACTCTAATAAAAGTAATTGAGCGACAAAAAAACAAACTTAAAAGCGAGTTAAAACCCTAATTCTGAAACATTGCATAAATTTCACTTATCTCATACTTTTTGAAAGTAAGAAATCATCGCCATGGGTTCATCTTAGTCCATGATATCCTCAATTGGGCCTTCCTTTCACATCTACAATTCTAGTTCTCCATCAACTGGCTCAGTCCTAAATTTCGAAACCCTAGCTCTCTCTCTTTCCCAATTTCGTTCTCAATTTTGTCCCCTTTCATTCGACTTTCATTTGGGAAAATGATTTTTTGGACCAAAACCCTAGCTCGAAATTCGTGCTTTTTTTTTTTAAAACTTATATCATAATGGTGTCATGTCAAATTCTTATCTCTCAAACTAGTGATTGGATAGCTGTTTAGTGATTTGAATATATTTTCAGCATGGGCTTATGGAAAGAGCAAAATCTTTTAAGAAAATTTCAAAATACACCCCATATTGGACTCACTTCTTGAAAAAGCCCCAAGATAAAACTTGTTTTGAATGACTCTTAGATTGGACCAATGTTATTCCTTATAACCCCCCTCATCCCCTGCGATAAAATGCACATCCCGGCGATTATGTGTCGTTCACGTGCCACTTTCTTGCCTTTGGATAAGGGCCTTTTTATCCTAAAAGTACATTTCCCCCAATTAAACCCCCGATACAAAACCTTAAGCTTCCCAATTTGTTGGTTGAATAAACCCTAAGTCAAATTTGAGAGAGGAGAAGATGAAATCGTGACTTTAATCAAAGCAATTGAGCACCTTAATATCTCAATCAAACTTAAAAGCGAGTTAAAACCGCAATTTGGAAAAATTGCATAAATTTCACTTTTCTCATACTTTTTGCAAGTAAGAAATCGTCGCCATGGGTTCATCTTAGCCCATGATATCCTCCATCAGGCCCTCCTTCCACATATGCAATTCTAGTTCTCCATCAACCGACTCAGTCCTAAATTTCGAAAACCTAGCTCTCTCTTCTTTCCCAATTTCTTTCTCAAAAGTGTCATTTGAAACACGGTAGTCCAAGCCGGGAATCATTTAAGATAAGTGCTACTTAAATTTCACTTTTGAGAAAATCCACTCAATCTAGGAGGTATTTTAGATATTCCTAAAATTTCCATACGAAATAATGTTAATGATGTAAAGATTGGTTTAGAAATGTGAGTATAGGACCTGATGTTGTGAACTCTACATAAATATTTAAATAAGCTAGTCATATAAAAAATATTGATAGCTTATCATCTTACTTCACAAATCATTTTTTTAATCTTGTCTATGTCGCTTATGTTTATTTGTTATGTAAAGAATAAATTTGTTCCAATCAACCACAATGCATTTAACCATCGGAGGCCTTTCTAGACTTAGGATAAATTACCCTTTTGATTTCCATGGTCTTGGGGGAGTACATTTTTGTCTTTATGCTTTATTTTGTCACAATTTAATCCTTATAGTATTCTCTAGCAACAATTTAAGTCATTCTATCAGATCTGTGTTTAAAACCCAACAATAATTGCAGAGTTAGCAAGTCATCTCATGAAAATGACAAATGTAGAAGTATACGTCATAACAACTCTCGTTAAATGTTGTCAATGAATTCTCATACATGTTCTAGACGTCCAATTTGAGTTATAGCGATGAAGAACAGCTCTAACTCTTATACCAATTGATAATGAAGAATGGATCTAGCTCTTATACCAAACTCTTTTAGAACGAGTATTGCTTTGATACAAATAATGAAGAATAGATATCGCTTTGATACCAAGTGATGAAGTTAGGATCTAACTCTAACACAAAACTGATATAGAACGGAAGCACGCAGAAATAGGACGAATAAGAATGGTAGAAATAGGAGATAAATCGGATAGCAAGGAAGGAGAGATAATCAGAGAAAGACGAGGAGATAGCAACTCTCAAAAACAAATCAATAATCTCAATATCAATTCAAAATCAAAGGCTAATCAAAATGTTGTAATTTGCTAATCAGATAAATATTACAAAGTAAACACTATCACCTAAAATCCCAATAAGATAATAATTAGTCTAAAAGATAAGAAAATCGAATCAAAATGTAATCACGGTGTAAGTTTAGGTTTGTGTTATTCTCCCAACCGAGAAGAACTTAACTCCGATGAGTTG